GGCACAGCCGAGGGCCTGGTGGGCAACAGAAAGCCAACAGGTTTGCTTCTTCTGTCCTCCTATCTTTATGACCACTCTGGTTTAAGTGGACTCCTCTGCCCACTTTCTCCAGAACGCAAACATGGCACACGTCTCCCCCGGAAGAACTATCCCGTCACCCTCTGCTTCGATCTTAGCCATCTATCCGAGCTGCCATATGAGTCCCAGCTCCTCCCGAAAGCCTTCCCTGATCGGACCTGGGCCCAGTTTAAAGCACATATCCTAAAAGACTTCCAGGAGCCCGTGAGGTCTAACTCCTCACCCAGGCTGCAGCATCTGTGCTGGTGCTTCCGAGAGGCCCACACGGGAAGGCCTGGCACGCTTGGGGCAGCTCCCGCAGACGAGGGTGAGGGGGTCCCCAGACTCTCCTTCTGACTGCGAACATGCTATATACCCTAAGGATGGCTCAAAGCCCGGCCTGATTGCCTCCTCCTCTCTGACCTCAGACTGCTGAAATTAAGTAGAGCATTCTCATTTCTACCGTCCCTCTGCAAAAAGAAAGGTCATTTTTCTGGCACCTGGTCTGATAAAGGTTGTCAAGAGGCAACCTCTGACAACAAGAAAGAATTTCAAAGATGAACGCAATGCTTGACAGGTCCCTAGGGGAGGGGATGCACCATCAGAGGCCGAAAGTTATCGGTCTTTCATTCAACAGTGGGCACCTCCTAATGGTGGGTGTTGTGGACATACATTAAGTTCCCACTAAGTGCTGGCCAAGCCATGTCTTTCCTCTGCTCTGTCTGAGGGCAAGTGGGGGCCTGAGGTGAAAGGCTGGAGGGAAATGAAAATCTTTTAACCAATCCAGTAATACTGGCACACCTTAGAGATACAGGGGATTGGTTCCAATCCTAAATCCCCTAAATCCCTTTTTTAAAAGATTGTATTTATTTATTTGAGAGAGAGAGAAAGCACAAGCGGGGGCAGAGACAGAGGGAGCCAACTCCCTGCTGAGCAGGGAGCCCGATGCGGGACTTGATCCTGGGACCCTGGGATCGTGATCTGAGCCGAAGGCAGATGCTTAACGACTGAGCCACCCAGGCGCCCCCAAAACAACGAATGCCTTAATTAAAAAGTGCCTTACTGCTAACCATCATCTGAGCTTTCAGCAGCTGTAATCTTTTGGCTGGTGGAGGGTCTTACCTCGATGTTGCCGGCCGCTGACTGATCACGTGGGGGTTGCTGAAGGTTGGGGTGTCTGTGACAGTTTCTTCAAACAAGAGAATAAATTTGTTGCACTGATTGACTCTTCCTTTCCCAAATGATTTCTCTGTAGCATGTGCTGTTGTCTGATAGCATTTTACCCACAGTAGAACTTCTCTCAAAATTGGAGTCAGTCCTCTCAAACCCTGCCAACCTATCAACTAAGGTTATGCAATATTTAAATCCTTCGTCACAGTTCAACAATCTTCAGGGCATCGTCACCGGGAGTAGACTCCATCTCAAGAAATCCCCTTCTTTGCTCCTCCACAGAAGCACCTCCTCATCCGTCCAAGTGTTATCCTGAGAGGGCAGAGGTTCGCTCACCGCTCCAGGCTCCACTTCTAGTTCTCTGGCTGTTTCCACCACATCTGCAGTGATTTCCTCCACTGAGTCTTGAACCCCTCAACGTCCTCCACGAGGGCTGGCACCCACTTCTTCCAAACTCCTGTTGTACTGACATTGAACCATGGGAACATTTTCTTAATGGCGTCTGGAATGGTGAATCCTTTCCAGAAGATTCTCAATTTATCCAAATCGAGCAGAGGAATCACCATCTGTGGTGTGTCTCTTAAATAATACAGCCTTGCAAAGTGTGTCTCTTAAATAATAAGACTTCAAAGTCAAAATTACTCCTTGCTCCATGGGCTGCAGAATGGACGTTGCATTAGCAGGCATGAAAACAACACTAATCTCGCCAGACGTCATCAGAGCTCTTGGGTGACCAGGTATGATGTCGACGAGCAGTAATATTTCAAAAGGAATCTTTTTCTGAGCAGTAGGTCTCCACAGTGGGCTTCAGATATTTGGTAAACCGTGTTGTAAACAGGTATGCTGTCATCCAGGCTGCGCCGTTCCGTTCGTAGAGCACGGGCAGAGGAGAGGTAGCATAATTCTTAAGGGCCCTAAGAATTTTCCGGCTTCAGCTTCAAGTCACCAGCCGCATTAGTCCCTAACAGGGCAGTCAGCCTGTCCCTTGAACGTCTGAAGCCAGGTGCTGGCTTCTCCTCTCTAGCTAGGACAGTCCCGGGCGACCTCTTCTCCCAGATAAGGCTGCTGCGTCTCCACCGAGCATCTGTTTAGCAGCCGCCTTCCCAAGCGATCCTAGCTGGATCTTCTGCTGAACCTGCTGCAGCTTCTCCATCAGCGCGTGCTGCTTCACCTGGCACTTCTGTGTTTCCTTAAACCTCATGAACCCACCTCTGCTAGCTGCAGACTTTTCTTCTGCGGCTTCCTCACCTCCCTCAGCCTTCGTGGACTTGAAGAGAGTCAGGGCCTTGCTCTGGATGAGGCTTTGGCTTAAGGGAATACTGGGGCTGCTTTGATCTCCTATCCAAGCCACCAAACTTTTCTCCCTATCAGCAATGAGGCCGTTGCACATTCTTATCACTCATGTGTTCACTGGAGTAGCGCTCTTAACTTCCTTCGAGAACCCTTCCTTGGCATTTGTGACGTGGCCTTTTGGCACAAGAGGCCTACCTTTCGGCCTATCTCGGCTTTAGACATCCCTTCCTCACTAAGCTTAATCATTTCTAGCTTTTGACTTCAAGTGAGATATGTGTGACTCTTCCTTTCACTTGAGCACCTAGAGGCCATTACAGGGTTATTAATTGGCCTAATTTCCATATTGTTGTGTCTCAGGGGACAGGGAGGCCCAAGGAGAAGGAGAGAGAGGGAAACAGCCGGTTGGTGGAGCAGTCAGAACACACAACGTGCATTGGTTAAGTTTGCCGTCTTATATGAGTGCAGTTTGTGGTGCCCCCAAACAAGTCTGATAGTAACATCAGAGATCATAGATCACTGTAACAAGTATAATAATGAAATGGTTTGAAACCCTGCAAGAATTATCGACATGTGACACAGATATTAAGTGAGCCTGTGCGGCTGGAAAAGTAGCACCAATAGGACTTGCTCAGTGCAGGGTTGTCACAAACCTTCCATTTGTAAAAAAGGCAGTATTTGTGAAGCACAGTAAAGGGAAGAGCACTGGAACGAGGTATGCCCACACATCTTCAGGCTGGAAGCAAGCAGAGGGGGCTTAACTGTCCTGAACTGTAATAAACTCTAAGGTCCTCCCAGAGTAAAGAGGACTCAGAGCTCCTACAGGCTTGTTCCTTGCTTCTGGGCCACCAGTCTCTCCCTGTGAGTGTGGTGACAAGGCACTCTCCACTCAGACCAGGGCCTGTGTCTGTAGGCATGGCTCCCAAGGCAGCAGTCCACCCCTTGCTCAACATCTCAGGGGGTGCTGCGCCAGCCCTGTGGCCAGGCCTGGTGTCTGGCCCTCAAGATATCATAATGTGGCTCTGGGAAATGTGAGACAAAGCCAAGAGTTCATCAGAGTACGGATCCGAGAAAGGCCTTCTGAGAAGCTTGCGGCTGGCGTGACCAGCCCTCCAGTGGGACGGCACAGGTGCTCTGAGGATGCCCAAGGGGAGCACACCGCCCCCCCATTATCAGGGGTGGGGAACTTAGGGATGATCTGCGGTTTCTCAGAATGCAGGCAGAGGGGCTGCAGTGAAGAAAGGCCTCCAACAAGCAGACCACATGTGCAAAGGTATGAAGACGTGAGGACGCGTGAGATGTTCACGTGCGCATCGCCAAGGCAGAGAGTCCCCACTCGGGGAACAGTGGGACGCCGGGCTGGAGAAGTCAGTGGGGAGCGGCATCCCTCAGGGTCAGGAGAGCCAGGCCCACAGGACTGCAAGCTAGGGACGCTGTGACAGGATCGAAGGCCTGTCATTGGTCTCACAGAGCAGGAACCGGGCCAAGACTGGCATCAGTGAGACCATTCAAGTGTCTGCCTGCCAGGTAACCTAAGGAAGATATGAACTAAGCCAGTGACCCTAAAGACTGACTAGGGAAACATTCAGGGGTGATTTGGTGACCAACTGGATGGGGAAGATGAGGGCAGGGGTCTCCCTTGGAAATGTAGGGGAAAGAGCAAGGTGAGAAAAGCCTGCAGGGAATGGTCCTCACATGGAGGTGGGTGTCCACACAGAGGTGAAGGGACAGAGCTATACGGGGAATGGTCAAGAAGGGTGTCAGAGCCCAGGAGCTCCATACCCAAAGGGTGGCTGGAGGGACTGCTTTCCCTAAAACTAAATATTTGATCATACTAATTTAATTCGACCTATTAAATTAAATTTAATTTTCTTTACTCAATACTAAGATGCAAAATATTAAAATAAATATTAGAGACATTTAATTGTTACACTATTTTGTTGGAACAGAGTCCATAGTCCTAAATGAACTCTTTTGGAAATGGGCTCTTCTCGTACTTACATGAGTTACACTGCCTATATTTGATCAACTTAACAAATAAAACTGATCTACTAGAGGGGCGCCTGGGTGGCTCAGTCGTTAAGCATCTGCCTTCAACTCAGGTCATGATCCCAGGGTCCTGGGATCGAGCCCCACGTCGGGCTCCCTGCTCAGCCGGGAGCCTGCTTCTCCCTCTTCCTCTGCCTCTTCCCCTGCTTGTGAACTTTCTCTCTCTTTCTCTGTCAAATAAATAAATAAAATCTAAAAAATAAATAAATAAAACTGATCTACTAGAGATCAAAGAGAACTAAAAATAAAACCAAGGTCCACTGCTGATTGACCATATTCCCAACAGCGTGAGTGACCAGATCCTACGAATGGCCACCAAGGGCTCCAGCACAGCCCTTCTGCCCAAGCTCCTGGGTGGCCAGAGGGAGCCCGGTGGGAGCCTGAGGCTCGGGATGAACAGGCTCCCAGGCCCCAGGAGTTCATGCTGTTCTTACCTGTACACAATTCTTTCCCTCTGTAAATCCTCCAAGCCACAGCACAGCTCGGCAGCATAGAAAATAGCTCTCTGCTCATCAAAGCCAGGGTTGCCCAGGTTGTGGATGTGAAACTTCAAGTCCCCTCCATTCATAATGGTTAGCACCAAGCACAAGGAATCTTTGGTTTCATAAGTGTAGGACAAACTAACCTAAAGACAACAGCATCATAAAAAACAAAGCACAAACACCTACTCATTCATTGGTGATTTACTCTATTTGCTAACATTATTCAAATACTCCACGTTAGATTTATCATTAGAACACCCAAATACTATATGCTTCAGGGAAATGCATACCATGCATCTGGTGCTTCTTGGACACTGACCTATCAAAGATCTTCCAGGAATTCTGCACTGAGGAGAGAATTTTCTATGGCTAAGTGGGTAGATGGCAAAACTTCACAAAGACACTTGGGATCCTGATTCATCGAAGGTATGCTCTAATCGTACTCAACGTTTCATACTTCTAGAACACCCATGTTCAGTATACAGGTTAAGTTACAAGTTAATACACCCACCCACGGTGTAAGAGGGGTCTTGCCGCTGCACATCCTTCCAACATTTTATGTTGTCAGTCAATGCTGCTGAAGGTATAGTTGCCTCTCATTGCAGTTTTAATGTGCATTTCTCTGTATATACAAATACAGGACACATTTCTCATACTTTTTCATATACTTCTCCATTTGGAACTACTTGTGTGAAGTACCTGTCCAAGTATTTTGCCCACTTTTCCGTTGGTTTGTAGGTCAATTTACACACACACACACACACACACACACCCCATGCTGGGATTTTGATTGGGACTGCACTTAATTCATTCAATCTATATATCAGTTTGGGAAAACCAACATCTTCATACATTGAGTCTTCTAATCCATAAGCATGGTATCCTTCCCTTTATTTGGTCTTCTTTAATTTCTTGGAAGAGCGTTTTAGATCTCAATGTAGAAGTTTTGCACATTTTCATTAAATTTTTGCCTAGATTATGATGTTTCTTGATGCTATTGTAAATGGTATCAATTAAAAGTTTTTATTTTCTAATTATTTGTGGCTGATATTGTTTCTAATAACTTGGCTAGAAACACAACAAATTATATAGAAAGTGTTGGACCGTCCACATGCATAATCATGTTGTGGGGCCAGCCAGGGTGGGCAGTGGGAAGGAGGAGGGGATGAGTGTGACACAGGTAGAGGTCAAGACCCACTGATAACTGTAAGCAGAGAGGAAAAAATACAATCAAGGATGAAGGAAAACTCACAGAGGGAATAAAAAACTACCTTCAGACAAATAAAATGGAAATCAACTTTCCAAAATCTATGGGACACAGCAAAAGCAGCTCTAAGAGAGAAGGTCATAACAACACAGGCCTACTCCAAGAAACAAGAAAAATGCCAAATAAACAATCTCATTTTATATCTAAAGGAACTAAAAAAATAACAAAGTCCAAAGTTAGTAGAAGGTGGAAATAATAAAGATCAGAGTGGAAATAAATGAAATAGAGATGAAAAAACAATAGAAAAGATCAATTAAAACCTGGTTCTTTGAAAAAATAAAATCAATAAACTTCTAGTCAGACTCATCAATAATAAACAAATATATAAATTTTTTAAAAATCAGAAATGAAAGAGAAGTTGCAAGTGACACCACAGAAATACAAAGAATCATAAGAGATCAGTATGAACAATTACATACCAACATGTTGGACAACCTAGAAGAAATGGGTAAGTTCCTAGAAACCCAACCTTCCCAGACCAAATCACACAAAAACAGAAAATATGAACAGACCAATTACAAGTAATGAAATTGAAGCAGTAATTTTAAAACTCCTAAGAAACAAAATCCCAGGACCACAGGGCTTCACAGGTGAATTCTACCAAACTTTTAAAGAAGGGTTAGTACCTATCCTTTCAAACTATTCCAAAAAAATTGAAAGGGGAAGGAAGGCTTCCAAACTCATTTTACAAGGCCAGAATCACCCTGATACTGAAACCAGATAAAGACATTATTAAAAAAGAAAATTATAGGCCAATATCCCTGATGAACATAGATGTAAAAATCCTCAACAAAATATTACTAAATCCAATTCAACAATATATAAAAAGGATCATACACCATGATCAAGTGGGATTTATTCCAGGGATGCAAGGATGGTTCAACATCCAAAAATACATCAAGGTGATACAACATATTAACAAAATGAAACATAAAAATCATATGATCATCTCAAAAGATGCATAAAAAACATATGACAAAATTCAATATTTATTTATGATAAAAGCTCTCAATAAAGTGGGTAAAGAAGGAACATACCTTGGGGCACCTGGATGGCTCAGTTGGTTAAGCGACTGCTTTCAGCTCAGGTCATGATCCTGGAGTGCCAGATTGAGTCTCACATCGGGCTCCCCGCTCAGCAGGGAGTCTGCTTCTCCCTCTGACCCTCCTCCCTCTCATGCTCTCTCTCATTCTCTCTCAAATAAATAAATAAAATCTTTTTAAAAAGAAGGAACATACCTTAACATAATAAAGGTCATATATGATAAACCCACAGCTAACATTATCCTGAATCGTGAAAAGCTGAAAGCTTTTCCTCTAAGATCAGGAACAAGACAGAGATGCCCACTCTTGCCACTTTTATTCAACATAGTACTGAAAGTCCTAGCCATAGCAATTAGGCAAGTAAAAGAAATAAAAGGCATCTAAATTGGAAAGGAAGAAGTAAAACTATTTGCAGATGACATGATGCTATATATAGAAAACCCTAAAGACTCCACCAAAGAGATTTGAGAACTAATTAATGATTTCAGTAAAGCCACAGGGTACAAAATTAACATGCAGAAACAGGTTGTGTTTCTATACACTAACAAAAAGCTATCAGAAATAGAAATTAAGAAAACAATCCCAGGGACACCAGGGTGGCTCAGTCAGTTAAGTATCAGACTCTTGATTTTGGCTCAAGTCACGATCTCATGGGTCATGGGATCGAGCCCCACATCAGGCTCTGCGCTCAGTGGGAAGTCTGCCTGAGATTCTCTCCCTCTGCCCCTCTCCCCACTCACATGTGCACACACTCTCTCTCTCAAATAAATAAATACATCTTTTAAAAAAAGAAAACAAGGTGCCTGGGTGGCTCAGTCATTAAGCGTCTGCCTTTGGCTCAGGTCATGATCCCAGGATCCTAGGATAGAGCCACACATTGGGCTTCCTGCTCAGCAGGAAGCCTGCTTCTCCCTCTCCCACTCCCCCTGCTTGTGTTCCCTCTCTCCCTGTGTCTCTCTCTGTCAAATAAATAAAATCTTTTAAAAAATAAATAAAAATAAATAAAAAAGAAAACAATCCAATTTACAATTGTATTAAAATAATAAAAAACCCAGGAATAAACTTAACCAAGGAGGTGAAAGACCTATACTCTGAAACTATAAGAGACTAATGAAAGAAATTGAAGACAACACAAACAAATGGAAAGATAAACCATCTTCACGGCATGGAAGAATTAATATTGTTAAAATGTCCATATTACCCAAAGCAATCTACAGATTCAGTGCAATCCCTAAAAAATGCCAATAGCTCTTTTCACAGAACTAGAACAAATAATCCTAAAATTGTATGGAATAACACAAGACTCTGAAGAGCCAAAGCAATCTTGAGAAAGAACAACAAAACTGGAGGCATCATGCTCTCTGATTCCAATCTATATTACCAAGCTGTAGTAGTGAAAATGGTATGGTACTGGCATAAAAACAGCCACACAGATCAGTGGAATAGAATAGAAAGCCCAGAAATAAGTCTATGCGTATATGGTCAGTTAATTTATGACAAAGGAGGCAAGAACATTCAATGGGGAAAAGAGAGCCTGCTCAATAAATAATGTTGGAAAAACTGGATAGCCACACGCAGAAGAATGAAACTGGATCACTACATTTTACCATATACAAAAATTTACTCAAAATGGATTAAAGACTTGAACATAACAAGTAAAACCATAAAACTCCTAGAAGAAACCATAGGAAGTAAGCTCTTTGGCATCAGTCTTAGTAATACTTGGGGGTGGGGGGCACAGTCTACTAAGGCAAGAGCAACAAAAGCTAAAATAAACGGGATTACAACAAACTAAAAAGCTTCTGCACAGCGAAGGAAACCATCAACAAAACAAAAAGGCAACCTACTGAATGGAAGATATTTGCAAATCATGTATGAAATAAGGGGATAATATTAAAAATATATTAAAAGACTTACACAAATTAATATGTGAAAAAATAACTTGATTAAAAAATGGGCAGAGTATTTAAACAGATATTTTTCCAAAGAAGACATACAGATGGCCAACAGGCCTGTGAAAAGATGCTCAACATCACTAACCATTAGGGAAAGGTAAATCAAAACCACCATGAGGTATTACTTCACACCTGTCAGAATGGCGAGCATCAAAAAAAAAAAAAAAAAAAAAAAAAAAAGAAATAGCAAGTGTGGTAAGGATGTGCAGGAAAAAGAACCCAGGTGCACTGTTGATGGAAATGTAAGTTGGTGCAGCCACCATGGAAAACAGTATGGAGGTTCCTCAAAACATAAAAAACTTGAAATACCATATGATCCAGCAAATGTACCTCTAGGTGTTTATCCAAAGAAAATGGAAACACTAATCCAAAGAAATATCTGCACTCCTAGGTTCACTGCAGCCTTATTTACAACAGCCAAGATACAGAAGCAACCTAAGTGTCCATTCATAGATGAAAAGATATAGAAGATGTGGTCCATATATACAATGGAATATTACTCAGCCATAAAGAAGGCTGAAATCTTGCCATTTGCAAAACATGGATAGACTTAGTGGGTATTAATGCCAAATGAAATAAGTCAGAGAAAAGACAAATGCCATATGGTTTCACTCATATATGGAATCTTAAAAACAAAACAAACAAAACAGAAACAGACTCAGACATGGAAAACAAACTGTTGATTATAAGAGTAGGGAGGGGTGGTGGCACGTGGGTGGCTCAGTCGTTAAGCGTCTGCCTTCGGCTCAGGGATCGAGCCCCGCATCAGGCTCCCTGTTCCACAGGAAGCCTGCTTCTCCCTCTCCCACTCCCCCTGCTTGTGTTCTCTCTCTCGCTGTGTGTCTCTCTCTGTCAAATAAATAAACAAATTCTTTAAAAAAAAAAAAAAAGAGAGAGTAGGGAAGGGTTGGGGGACAGAAAATAAGTGGAAGGGATTAAGAGGTACAAACTTCAGGGTGCCTGGCTGGCTCATTTGCAAGAGCATAGAACTTGATCTCAGGGTCGTGAGTTCAAGCCCCACATTGGGTATAGAGATTACTTAGATAAACAAACTCTAAAAAACAGAGGTACAAACTTCTAGTTATAAAACAGATAAGTCAAGGAGATGTAATGTATAGGATAGGGAACATAGTCGATAATATTGGAATAACAGTGTGGTGATAGATGGTAACTAGACTTATCACAGGGATCATTTCATAATGCATAAAAATATGGAATCACTATGATGTATACTTGAAACTAACAGGATATTGTCATATCAATTATACTTCAATTAGAAAAGAAAAGGATGAAGGAAAATATTTCTAGGTTCCTTGGGAGAGGCCAAGAATATAGAAACAAAAATATTTCATTTAAATAGAATAAACCATTGGTATTACTTATGTCCCTTTCATAAAGCTAGATTATGGATTTCTGTGTTTCAAGGTAGTTACACAAACATATTTAAAACAACTCCATGATGAGCCAGTTTTATTAAAGATTTTCGTGGAATGTACGAGGAGAGACCTGTCATACACAGAGGTAAATGTAGAGGATGGCTGTGCAGGCCACTATTTGCAAAGCTTGTCCCCTAGCACAAAGCAGCGAACCTCAGTCCTGAGACAGAAGTGACTGGGAGGAAGTACGCCTAACACCACAAATTCTTTCCTAAGTTATCGTTCCCTCTCCCCCTTACATAGACCCTCCTGTTGCCACAGATGCTACAGGAGATATGAAGCAGGGGACAGAAGTTAGGTTCGGGGATGCATGCCACAGCACCTCATGCACAGCACAGGGCCTAGGAGGGTCCCGCATTCACCTAAGCCCCATTCGCCCAACCCTTGCCTGACATAGTGAAGGTGGGATTTGAGGCTTCATGCGACTGGGGAATGCTAGCCGGGGGGCCAGCAGTACACTGGCCAGGTTGTCAGACTGCTGGCTCGCAGAGAGGAGGACTTGGGCCAGTGCCTTCAAGCTCAGGAGGCAGTGGCCCTACGGCCCAGGATGAGCACTGGCGGCCCAGGAGAGGGCAGGGCCCTGGCCGGTAACAGCCTGCTGCTGGGTGTGAGGCGGAGCCCACAGAGCAGGCCCCGGGGGGTGGGATCACCCCTGCTTGGTGTGTGTGCTCAGTAAGAAGCGGGTAGGGAAGCAGAGGCCACCAGCAGGACCAGGCTGTCCCTGGCCCCTGGCCCTGCTGCCAGCCGCGGCAGCACAGCCCGCACCCCCAGCCGAGACAGGTGGGCCCAGCAGCAGGTGTGCCCACCAGAGGGTCCTCACCGCGCCATCCACAGAGAGGACTAAACCCAGATACTCACTACAAATCTGCTATGCACTTTTTCTAGGATTCTCTTTTCACTGAGAGCCATGGCTTCACCTTTCCTCCTCTTTATTCTGTTTTTCTCCAGCTTCTTACACGCATACATCTTTCCTGTAGCCCGCACTTGACACGCACAAACCTAGTTTAAAAAAGGGAAAGAAAGTGTTCTACACACCTGCCACCTCGGGCCGCCGCCGTCACCACCAGCAGCAGCAACCAAGCCCCACTCCCTCCATGATCAGCCCCGCAGGTGAACGGCAGGGAGGGGCTGGTGGCCGCAGGGGTGTGGCGGGGGTCCCGGCTCTCCCACAGGGGACCACAGCACGCCAGGCCGCCAGGGTCTCCCTGCATCTCTCAGCCCCTGCACAAGAGCCACAGTGTTTGAGAGTAAACTGATTCCTCTTTCTTTTAAAAGTTTAAGGATATAAGAAAAGATATTGCATAGAGTTCATAAACTTTCATGTATTTATTCTACTTAGTTGTTAAAAGACTATTTATACATTACTTACCTTCCCACTAGGAAAAAATTTCCAAAATCACAGAAGTGGAGATGGGGCTATAATGAGCTCCCAAGTACCCATCCCACAGCTTCTGGGCTATCAGCACGGGGCTGCCTTGTTTCCTCTGACTCCCGTTCACTGCGCGCGCGCACACACACACACACACACACACACACACACACACCCTTCATACCACAGACACACTGCCCACACACACCGACTGCACACCACAGGCATGTACGCGCCCCACACACGTAACACATGCATATACCACACATACACAGACACGGTTACTTTATAAGCAAACAGAAGACATGATATCATTTTAATCCAGGAGTAACATGATTTTGATGATAAAATATAAAGTTCGTTGTGCAAAATACTGCAAGTATTAGTAAGGACAATGATAAAATTCACTGAAATCCCAAGATAACTGTATAGGCTTCTGAGTCCTCCTGAATTTTGGGTGGGGAACCTGACCTTATATTATAGAAAATATTTTACAATCTCCTATTTTCATCTTCCAGTGTGACTGTTTCCTCATCATTCTATGTTCTCCCAATATCTGACTACTCCAAAATTTCTTTAGTCATTTTCCTACCATTAAGTCTCAGCACATAAATCTTGGCATATCTCTTTATCACTAACAAGACAAATTCTTTAAAGTGCAATTGCCAAGTCGAAGAAAGAGAAGGGAGAAGAGGTAAGGGAGCCAGACTCTGCACTCTCAGCTGGACACGAATATTCCTTTGCTGCTCGCAACCACCCTGGGAAGCAGGGATCCTCTCCCTGTCATGATGAGGATGAGAGGAAGCCAAGGTCACACGGCGGAAGCAAGGCCAGCTGCGCCGACGAGCCCCCTCCACGGCACCGTGCTGTCTCTAGAGCCACGCACACAGAGACGCCACCGGTTCTCTTTCCTCGGCGCACCGCAGGACCCCACAAACCTCTTCTGGAGGACTTGAAGCCTAAGTGAAAGCACTGCGGTCGACAAAATAAGACCAAAATGTTTGCCCTTGCAAAACCACCGGAAGAGGTGTTAATTTGGAAAAAGGAAATCCACCACTGGAATCTGGATTTAAAAGGCACTGAGGCTGTCCGCATTAGGGTCACAGGGCTCCCTCTGACAGGGATGCACAGTGGAAATGGACTGTTCTGCTCTGCACAGACGCGATGTAACAAATAGCACATCCAGAACAGGTCTGTGAAAAACCAGAACACTTTATCCACCTGTATAATCTTTTGTGTGGAAACACAAGTAAATGTGTTAAAAAATAATCTATAAATATAAATATACCAAGTCTTTCACAACAGTTAAAATTTGCTAACACGTTACTACTGGGTCCATTTCTAGAACCTCCATGTGGCTATAACTAGAGCTACATTCTTTTGTAAACACAAGAGTTTGAAACATCCCCCGTTCTTGGACAGAATCTGAGTTTTATACTTGGACATCATGAAAGGCAGAGTAGCACGAATTAAAGAGAGTGAATAACTCTCCTGCTTGAGGAGGTATTCAAACAGAGGGTGGATTTCTTACAGAAATCTCTATCCTGGAAGGGTTACAACAGCATTTGGTTGGATCACTGGAAATACTCTAACAGGTCTCCAGAACTGTGTCAGGCACAACATTGCTGGTTCTGAGGTACTGGCGGCATGGGCCGATGTCTCCCTCACCCAAACACAGAGGTAGGAGAGGCCTCACTTGTGGGACAAGGCCTCTTAGGTCAGCTTCCTAATCCACATTAAGGGAACTCTGGTGGCTTTGGTTTAGGCTTTCCATGGGAATTTGGGAGCATGGGTGATTTCGATCACATGCGGGCAATTTCACTTGCTTCTGACTACACGTGCAGCTTTGGTTCTCTGTGGCTGTCCCGGCTCTGGCTCTGGGGAGTTATAAATGCTAAAACTGAACATGACCGCTCCAGATAATCAATGAGGCACCTAACACCTCTTTAAATGACCTAACCAGAACTACATGTGATTCTTGGTCCACCCCACACAATAGTCTCTATCTCGGAGAGCCATCATGTTCAAAGACCATCTCTCATGAATTTGTGGGTAGTGTCCTTAGGATCTTCCCAAATTTACACATTTTCTAGTATCTTTTGATATAGGTGTGGGAGCACATACATGTCCACACAGAGTTGAGATAAATAAGCACATTTAATAATATACTCTGTACTATATGAGCTTTTAAGCTAGTCTTAAATTAAGGAAATAGAGTAACAGATTAGACAATATGGAAACAATCATCTTTTCCATCAGGACAAACTGAGATTGAATGTTGAATAATGGAATGCGGGAAACAACTTCTGTACGAAACATAAAGTGAAAGAAAAAAATCATGAAGATAGTGAATTTTTTCTTTCCAGATCTCCGAATCTTTTAAAAGCAGGTAGCAAAGTACCTTTTGTTTGTTCAATCTTAATTCTTGTGGTTGGCTAAATCATTCCCAAAATATACAGTAAGGAAATAAATGTATTGGTAAAGTTGACACATCATGTCTCTCAAGTACCGCGCTGTCTTACTTTTCTAGTCACGTATTACTTACCTCACCAAATCCGCCTTTTCCTAGAACTCTGTAATGCCTAAATGTGTTCTTTGTTACTGGTTGCCTAATTAATTAAAAAAGAAAAAGCTTCAGATGTCACATCACATTGTTATTTTAAAGCAGAAAAGCCTACCTAGCTCCCATCCTGGCCTTATTTATGACACTGCACTATTCAAAGGGAGTGCCCGGGGCAAGAGTGCCCATGCTCAGGGACCGTGGCTCCCTCTAGTGGGACGCCTTCCATTACGCTAAGAGACATAAGCGCTTGTTAACATTAAGAATTATTGAAAACAATGAAGATAGATCTAGAACTGTCCAATTATCCTTACTAATTGAAGGAAGGTCAGCAACTAGTTCCCATCACGACATATGTATGTACTGGGCCTATTGGAAAGCTGCAGAGGAAAATGACATATCTACAGTGCACCACCCTGTGGAAAAAGAACCTCAAAGAGGTGTTTATACTCAACATCTCAAAAGAAACGTGCATGAAGTAGAACTGGAAGTCTAATCAATCAATAACCATTGTAACAACAACACTTACTGAGCACTTACTTTGTACAATTGTACACCAAGCTATACACAATCCTCAGGCAGCCCAGCAGCGCAGTATGCTGGATTCTAGAATTACATCTATTTTCAAAAACAGGGACCTGATGCTCATGAAGGCCAAGTCCCTTGACTGAGTCCACGTGGCTAGTACCACAAGACTGAACCAGTGTACATCGGATTATATTTCTGTGAATCTAGGATATGTTTTATCTTCTAACTACTGTGCTCACAGGGCTGAAGAAATTACATAACACATATTAATAATTTCTGTACAACAATACCATATCCAGCCCAAGATTTCCAATATTATTTTGACAGATGGAAAAGTATACATCAATCAGTACACATTCTGAGAAATTACTACTTGTTTTTGAATTTTAAATTAGAACATACCTTTCCAGCCATTTCCACTGTAGAAATCGAGAAAAATATGGGCTTTCTTGGTATTCCCCAAATGGTTCTCCACTTAAATAGTTATGGATAATTCTAGAAAAAGATTTTACATAATTATATACGTTTGTTGCATTACAATATGAAAACAACTATGTTTCAGCACATTCATCAACACTGGGTATGGGAAGTCAATCATTTTACACAATTAAATATATTAAATTTTGCAATTATAGAATTCCACACTTGTTTCTAATGTTATTAGTAAAAATATGAAGGCAAGAATTCAAAAGAAATGAAATTGTTTACCCTCCCAATGTATTCAAGGGGTGTATGTGTAGTGTGTGTGTGCATGCACCCAAGCACATGTGTTTCAGTAGGGATTGTAAACATTTGGTATGTAAGATTAGAATGAGTATCTAAATGATAATAGTCATGTTGTACAAAATGTTAATATGTGACCAACCTTTTTTTAACACTGAAACTAAAACACCCGATGAACTATTTTATGCTATATATTTCCAGAAGAAATTTTATGCAGTTAGCCATGCTTCTAAAGTTTTATTTAGAATTTTATAAAATATATAGTTTTATTTTATTACAGAAGTAATAAAATTCTTATTCGTAGAGTAGATGAGGGACAGAATGTAGTCAATTTTTAAAACAGCTCATTAGTCAATAAGCATCTAAGAAGTAGATTGCAAGCACTGTGCTGGACGTTGGAGGGAAAATGTCCAAAGAGGCCTACATCGAAGAACCTACCAGCTTGGCCAGGGAGATGGGTAAGTTAGTGCACCGTTAGAGAAGAGTGTGCCATGCCTGGCGTGCCCAGAACACCTCCCCTAGGAGAGGTTATATTAGGGACACTTTGGTGAAGTTGGTGTCTGAGTTGAAGTAGAAGTCACCCAGATGAAGGAAGAAGGAAAGGGTCTCCCAAGCATGGACAAAAACCCAAATGGGAAAAGATCAGAGTTTCCACGGGGAATTGCTAGTAGACCAGTAACTCAAGAGGCTTCGGGAACAATTCCAGCATTTTCACTGATTGTAAGAATTCTGAGCAAGCCACTTGGTTTCACTTTATTTTGTAAAAGGAGGTTATTCACAAGTTCTTGGACTAACTAATATTATAGCACAGCGATTCTCAAAATGTGTTCTGAGGATCCCTATGGATTCTGAGACCCTTTCGGGGGGATGTTTAACAATGAAACTATATTTGTAGTAATGCTAAGACATCATGTGCCTTTTAAAAACTAAAAACCTCATTTTCCCAGAGGGGTTTTCCAGAAGCACAAGACATGTGACATCATTGCTCTGATGGCAAGTGGAATGTTTATGTCTTCTTCTTTTTAAAAATGTAAGCCACATACACAAAAGCTCTTTGGGTCCTCAATCATTTTTAAGAGTATAATAGACATTGGAAGATGTCCAGACATCAGAGGGTCTGACATGGCTGCTACATACAATCTGACACCTGAGCACTGTTCTGGAGGCTGGCTACCTGGACCACCTCCTCCTGTCCTAGTGGAGGGAGAGGGAGGGCCTGCTCCCTGCCTCTAGGAACACCTTTCCCTCCTAAGCACGTGGGCAGCCCAACTCCAAACCTTTGTGGACCAGGGCAAGGATCCTGATACTGTCGGCTTAGTTAAATCATCTTTGTAGAGGTGTTTGCATATTTCTATGAGAAGAACCACACACTACCAACTTATTCTAATATAATTGCATATTTCAGTCTGTATAAATTAATATGCTGATGACTACAATCAACTTACCAGTGCTTCTCAATTTCACTTCCTAATACTCCTTAACTCAAAAACAACAGACTCTGCCCCACTGCTCTAGTCTGGGAAATAAACCTACTGCACACACCTTTTTTTAAAGATCTTATGTATTTATGTATTTATGTATTTATGTATTTGAGTTGGGGGGGGACAAGAAGACTCAGCACTGAGAACAGAACCCAGTGTGGAGTTTGATCCCACGACTGAGATCCTGACCTGAGTGGAAACCAAGAGTAGGGTGCTTAACCAACTGACCCACCCAGGCGCCCCCCCAACTGCACACATTTTTTTAAAAGTTATGACATTTAAAACTCTATCAGTTCCACATTGGTTTTTAAGATAGCCATCCTGGGGCTCCCCACCAACCATCACACTATGCTTGCCTCTCAATACAGCTTCTTACAGAAAACAGCAGGGAGCCTAAAGGAAACTTTTTTTTTTTAAAGATTTTATTTATTTGAGTGAGAGCGCAAGAGAGAGCATAAGAGGGGAGAGGGTCAGAGGGAGAGGCAGACTCCCCACTGAGCGGGGAGCCCGATGCAGGACTTGATCCCTGGACTCCAGGATCATGACCTGAGCCGAAGACAGACGCCCAACCAACTGAGCCACCCAGACGCCCCTAAAGGAAACATTTATGTTCATTATGCAGCATCAGTACTCTGGAATTCAAAATGAGAAGGAAGGCTTTCAGGGCAATCAAGGTTGCAGCAATACAGAAATGAGCCAGAACAGTAGGGAACTCTGAAAGTCCTCATTTCTGCACCGCATCGTGCTGAGGTCCCCCGTTAGCCAGTGCCTGGCCCAGCTGCTGGCAAATGACAGGCACTGAATAAGAATGTAAGGAATAAACCGCCACCAGTCGAGTGAACTAATCCAAACAGACAGAGGGGGGACTGAGTACTAAAACTTATTTAAATATGAGAGACTTTTAAGTCCGTATCTCAAAGCAGATACACAGAGAAGGAGGCAGACCTGTGGCCAGTCTGATACAGTCGTGTACACCACCCCAGTCTTCAACAACAGGACGGAACTGGAAAAGTGCCTCATCAGAGGGTTAAAAATATGAACAAATTTAGTGAAGAGATGTATCAATGAAGAACCCTAAGGCTGGAATGGGGGAACACATGGTAACCACAGAAAAAGGAAAGAGGCCTAGAGGTAAAAAGAGAAATCAGGAAACCAGCTGGCAAGTGCTAGAGAAGTGAAATGCTGTCCCCACTAGAAAGCTGGATCCCAGCGACAAGGCACAGGAAGCCATGGTGCAAACACGCAGCGTGGACCCACGGGCGTGAAGGGACCCTTCTCCGCCACGGCCCGGACCAGCCCTGCTAAGCAGTGTAACTCCCCGCAACCTCAGGGACATGCGGAGATGGGTCTTTTCTCCTCACAATGTGTACTTTCTCTGCAGGTCAAAGTGGAGGTGTGGCTATTCCCTGGCACATGGGTGCTTGGTTTTTGGAAGGGATAGTCATGATGATGTATGCTATGGACTGAATGTGTGTCCCCCCAAAAGTCCTATGTTGAAACCTAATCCCCAAGGTGATGGTTTTTGGAGGGTGGAGGCTCCCTGAACGGATTTGGTTTCGTGCTCTTATGAAAGAGACTCCTCCCTGGCTCTTCCTGCCACGTGAGGCCACAGAACGCTGAAGAGGGGCCTCACCAGAGCTGGACCACGCTGGCGCCACGACCACGGGCTTCCAGCCTGCAGAGCTATGGGAGACAGATGCCTCCCAGTCTGTGGCATCTGTTACAGCAGCCAGACAGACGGAGACAATGTGCTTCTGGGAGTGACCTTGAAAAGGTCAATGACACATGGCCTGCCTTGCCCCCATGAAACTGTTCCTGGAGGAGGTCCCGCTCTGCTGTCTGTGAGTGTGTCAGCACAGGAGACGGTCTCCAGCCTGTGGCTGTCCCCTTCTTTGTCTCCATGACACCACTTGGCCAGGCTGTGGAGTATTGAAGTGGAGCCTTCCATCCCGCTTTTGTCTCTAGGGTGTCTTCCACGGGGGCTGGGCCAGACCCTCAGCCCACGATGGCATCACTGAGGCTCTGCCCTACCCCCGTCATCCTCAGGAAACATGGATGGGGCAGTGTTACTGCGCACTGCGTACGAAAGAGGCAGCTGCCGGCTGGAGGCACAGTCACACGGAAATGACTGAGCACAGGACCAGCCTGGCTGCCAGCACCCTGTCTCAGAGCACAGGGGACATACCCTCCACTCCACAGTTGCTGATCTGTACACCAGTGAGCCACACACTTAACCTCAGAAACAAAATGTAGTTTCTTTGGTAATTCTAAATCACAAAGGGATAGTTTGGGTGGCACAGAGTGACCGACTAGCCTAAAACCTTGTTCTTCCAGTTGCCAATGCCCACCATTGTAAGCAGGAGAGGGGCTGAGCCGAGGTGCCGGTGCCAGACAGGTCTACACCCACACTGTGGATGTGCCCATCACACAGATGTCACCACTAGGAGAGGCCACCACTAGGGCCTAACAGGATCTAGTGCTCTTCTCTGTGTCTACAAGTTAACATAAAAATCTGAGAAAGGAGAAACACAAATTTGAAGTGACTACTTAGGAATTAATTCTCAGATTTTTTTCTAGTAGTTTCTGCAAAATGAAAATGGAACCAAAAAGTGATCAGTTTTAAAAGTGGGATCTTCGCAAAAGTTGCATGGAAACCAGGTTGATGACTGCCCTCTTTGGGGAATGCACCCATGTGAGGAAGCTGGCTGCTCAGTCCTCAAGCAGAGGGGCCTGGGGCAGGTTACCAAACCTTTTCTGGCCTCCAATAAGGATGACAGTCGTGCCTGCGTCATGGGTTACTAAGAGGAGTAATGCATTCATAAGCGTTTATCACTGTTGTTCATGTGAGGACTCCCATGTGAACACTTGGGAAGTGACAGAAAGGGCACCTGGGAACAAGGACCAGGGAGTGGGAGCCATGAGGACCCTCTCCCTGGCCCTCCTGGGATGAAGTAGCAGCAATCCTCGACCAGCCCCTCCCCCTGCAGGTCTTTGTGCTCCCTGGCCTCCTCCTCAGCCTGCAGGGAAGGGTCTCTGTGAAGACTCTTCTTGTGGCCCCAGGCTAGGAGAGGCGCCCTCAACACTGGCTCCCTGGCAATTTATTCAGCACCTGTGGTAGGCTGAATAATGAATGACCCAAACACATCCAGGTCCCAAACCCTGGAACCTATGACTGTCACCCTCCATGGCAACAGGGACTTTGCAGATGACTGAGTTAAGGGGCCTGAGATGAAAAAATGATCCTGGATTATCTGGGTGGGCCCTAAATGCCATCACACATGTCGTTGTATGAGGGAGGCTGAGGGAGATGTGCACATACAGAGTAAGAAAAGGTTTCCTAAAGACAGAAGCAGAGAGAAACTTGAGGATGCTGTATGGCTGGTTTTGAACATGGAGTAAGGCGCCATGAGCCAAGTAATGCATTCCTAGAAAACAAGAAAATGGATCCTCCCCTAGATCCTCAATGGAGCAAGGCCCTATGGACACTTTGATTTCTGCCCAGCGATACTGCTTTCAGACTTCTAACCTCCAGAACTGAAAAAAAAAAGAGATGCGTGTGGTTTTAGGCCATCAAATTTGTGGCAATTTGTTATGGCCGCAATAGGAAACTAATACAGCTCCCTAGAAGTAAAGAACCAACTCATTCCTGCTTATTTTATTCCTGGAAACTAGATCAATGACAGCACATAATAGGTGCTTAATAACTATTTTCCCAAAAAATAACTAATAAGCCAAGGCTCTGCAATTCATATTTTCTTAAGTCACGTAGGAATGAAAACTCAAGTCAGCAGTGTTTCGTTTTGCTCTCTAACATAACCTCAACCCGAAGAAGCAAACTATTACTGTGACTTGAAATGCTTCTCCCAAACAGACATGTTGAGTCCTAACCCTGGTCTTTGCAGCTACAATTAGTTAAGATGCGGTCATACGAGAATAGGGCGGGCCCTGATCCAATGGGACCGGTGCCCTTATAAGAAGAGGAGAGAACACCAGGACAATGACAGCAGAGGCTGAAACGCTGCAGCTGCAAAGCCCAGAAACAGCAGGGATCGCTGGCCTCCACCGGAAACAAGCAGAGCCGAGGAAGGGTCCTGGCCCCGAGAGACCTTGACTTCAGACTCCCAGCTTCCAGAACTGTGAGAATAAACTTCTCTTGCTGTTTTTTTAAGATTTTATTTATTTATTTGAGAGCAAGAGAGAGAGAGAGAGAACAAGTGGCAGGGAGGAGAGGGGCAGAGGCAGAGGGAGAAGCAGGCTCCCCACTGAGCAGGGAGCCTGATGCGAGACTCGATCCCAGGACCCTGGGACCACGACCTGAGCCGAAGGCAGACGCTTCACCGGCTGAGCCACCCAGGCGTCCGGAGAATAAATTCCCGCTGTTTTATGCCACCTAAGTTTGTGGAACTTTGTGATGGCCGCCCCAAGAAACGGACGCAGCACCTGACATAGAGCCGGCACTCAACCAGCCTCTGTTGAACGGCTCTTAGGATAAACAACACCCGAATGCTGCATGACTGGACAGAGGACTCCGTGTTCTGGGCCAGATCAGTCCAGAAACCATTCTTTCTCCCTGTGTACCTCAGGAGCCGGATTTAGTCAAAGTGCTTTCACTTAGAATTTCCCTGTCTGTACTGCAAATACCTAGAGAAAAGATATTTTCAGCAAGTTCCTAGGGCTTTAAAAAAACATTTTATGGGAATCCTTACATCCCAGACATATGCATTTTAGAAGGCTGAGCGGAGGGGCCAGGGGCCTGCAAAACCATGCGCATACACTGGCTCTCCACGATGTGACCCATTTCAGGGTGTCCCTTCTGTCTGTATAATTATCACCCTTCGTGTATCTCTTTCTAGTGAAAGTGACCACTTTAATTTGGAAAGTCCTGCAGTGAGAGCTGGTGTCATGCAGAGAGAGCCCCTGTAAACCTCCCGTCTGGCATCAGCCACACGTCTGGGCAGGGTGATGCCAGCCACTTACCTGGTGCATTCCTCAAAGTCGTCCTTGCCGGGGTCCTGCTTCAGTCTCAACCGACATTCTCTCAAAACATGGGAAGGTATTTCTGGTAAAGGGACTGCTGACTTTTTAATACAGCACAAACCAAATGCATAACAATTAGTGATTTCATAATTTACCAATTGTAAACAGAACCCAAGGCTTACTGTAAGAAAAAATTACAACATCAAGTGTATGAAATAACAAGTCAAAGTGCCACCTTCACCCGCCACCCCGCTGTCATTTTCCAGAGTTCACTGTGTTGTCCACCTTTTCAGATGTTTTCCTAAGCAAATCAAATCAGAGCGAAAAGCAAGGTTTTGGGGAGGTATTTGTACACCCATATCCACAGCAGCATTATTCACAATATCCAAAAGGTTGGAGCAACCCAAGGGTCCAGTGACAGACGAATGGATAAACACCATGGTCCCTCCATGCAGGGGAATGTTACTCAGCTTCAAAGAGGAAGGACGTTCTGACACCTGCTACAACAGGAATGAACCTTGAGGACACTGTGCTCAGTGAAATGAGCCAGTCACAAAAGGACAAATACTGTATGATCCCACTTCTGTGAGGTCCCTGAAATGGTCAGAATACTAGAGATGGAATGTGGAATGGTGGTCGCCTAGGGCCTGGGGGAGGGGAAAGTGGGAGCTGTGTTTAATGGGGACAGAGTTTCAGATTTGCAGGATAAAGAAAGTTCGGGAGATGGATGGTAGTACAGGCTGCCCACCAATGTCAGTATGTGTAATGCTACCAAACTGTACACTTAGAAATGGTTACAATGATCAATTGTATGTCTCTTTTGCCATAATTAAAAATATAAACACATACACATGCACACAAAGCCTCAGAAATAAATAATTTTTTCTCACACAAATGGGATAAAAATACATATGTAGTTTTATAAATATGTGCTGCTACCTAGAGAGCTACCATATTTTCTTAAAGACTGCATGGTTTCCCAGAGTATACGCCTATCTGTCCTTCTTACACATTCTACCTGCCCGTTTTCTCCACTGCAGACACCACTGTCATGAACATCTTTGTACAACTGTGTTTTTATAAGACAGATTCCTGAAAGTAGAATTACTAGCTCAAAGGATACATGTCTCTTAAACATTGATATTTATTGCAAAGCTGACCTCCAAAAAGGCTCTACCACTTTACATTCTCACTAATATGTCCCTACCTGCCCGCTTCCCATTCTCTTAACCCTCAACTAGAGAATTCTGGAGAAAGAAACACATAACAAAACTACTATCCTGATTTATTGAAAAAGATACCCAGATCATGTTCAGTTATACATTTAATTTGTCATTAGACTTGAGAAATGCATTCTAAACTGATCTCTGACAGTGGTATAGCTGAGTTAGCACAGCAAAACTGTGTTTTCTACAAATCAAAGAAACACTTCCATCAAAGTTGAACTAGTGATAGAAATATAAAACAATATAGAAAATTCACATTTAAAAAAATGAGCAATATTGTTATAATTAATAATGATTAATAGGCGTCAATTAAAAGATCTAACAGAAGTGAGGCTTTTTCCCATCTATACTATGTCTGCCTTCGGCTCAGGGTCCTGGGATCGAGCCTGTGTCAGGCTCCCTGCTCAGTGGGGAGTCTGCTTCTCCCTCTGCCCTTCCCCACCCCCACCCCCTCAGCTTGTGCGCGCTCTCTCTCTCTCTCTAATAAATAAATAAAATACTTATTAAAAAATAAAAAAGAAGGAGAGATAAAGAGTTTTCCAGGCAAACAAAACCAAAGGAGCTGATCATCACTAAACCAACGCTGCAAGAAATATTACAGGGGACTCCTTGAGTGGAAAGGAAAGACCAAAAATGATGGTATGAAGGGACGTAATACAAAAGCAGTAAAAATGAATATTTCTGTAAAAAACAGTCAAGGAACTCACAAAATAAGAGGATGTAAAATATGACACCATATACCTAAAACGTGGGAAGGAAAGGAGTAAAGAATGGGTTCAAACTTAAACGACCATCAACTTAATATAGACTGTTATATGCAGAAGATGTTATGTATCGACCTAATGGTAACCACAAATCAAAAACCACTAATAAATATGCAAAGAATAAAGAGAAATAAATTCAAATATATCACTAAGGAAAACCAGCAAATCATGAAAGAGAGAAAGACAAGAAAGGATCAGAGAAAATCTTCAGAAACAACCACAAAACAAGTAATAAGATGGTAATAAATACGTATCTATCAATAACTACTTTGAACATAAATGAACTAAATGCTCCAATCAAAAGACATAGGGTGTCAGAATAGGTAAGAAAAGAAGACCCATCTATATGCTGCCTACAAGGGACTCATTGTAGACCTAAAGACACCAGCAGATTGAAAGTGAGGGGATGGAGAAATATCTATCATGCAAATGCTTGTCAAAAGAAAGCCAGAGTAGCAATACTTACATCAGACAAAATAGACTTTAAAACAAAGACTATAATAAGCAACAAAGAAGGACATTATATAATAAATAATAAAGGGGGCAATCCTACAAGAAGATATAACAATTATAAATATTTGTGCATCCAACCTGGAAGTACCCAAATACATAAAACAGTTAACAACAAACATAAAGGATCTAATCAATAATAATACAATAATATTAGGGAAATTTAACTCCCCACTCACATCAATGGACAGATCATCTAAACAGAAAATCAACAAAGAAACATTGGCTTTGAATGACACATCGGACTAGATGAATTTAACAGATATATTCAGAACATTCCATCCTCAAACAGCAGAATACACATTCTTTTCAAGTGCACATGGAACACTCTCCAGAATAGATCACATATTAAGCCACAAAACAAGCCTTAACAAACTTAAAAAGATCGAAGTCATACTGTGTATCTTTTCTGACATAACACTATGAAACTAGAAGTCAACCACAAGAAAAAATCTGGAAAGACCACAAATACAAGGAGGTTAAATACCATGCTACTAAACAATGAATGGGCCAACCAGGAAATAAAAGATGAAATAAAAAAGCACATGGAAACAAATGCAAATGAAAACACAATAGTTCAAAACCTTTGGGAAGCAGCAAAAGTAGCCATAAGAGGGAAGTTTATAGCAATACAGGCCCACTTCAAAAGGCAAGAAAAATCTCAAATAAATAACCAAACCTTACATCTAAGGGAGCTGGAAAAAGAACAACAACAACAACAACAAAAGCCACCTAAAACCAACAGGAAGAAGGAAATAATAAATATTAGAGCAGAAATAAATGATATAGAAACTAAAAAACCAATAGAACAGATCAATGAAACCACAAGCTGGTTCTTTGAAAAAAATCAATAAAATTGATTAACCTCTTATTTGGATAAAGGATCCAAATAAATAAAATCTCAAACAAGAGAGGATAAATACCAACAAACACCACAGATGTACAAACAATTATAAGAGAATATTATGAAAAACTGTATGCCAACAAATTGGACGAAGTAGAAGAAATGGAGAAATTCCTAGAAACATATGAACTACCAAAACTGAAACAGGAAGAAACAGAAAATCTGAACACACCAATTACCAGCAAAGAAACTGAATCCATAATAATAATAATAATTAAAAAAAAAAAAACTCCTAACAAACAAAAGTCCAGGACCAGATGGTTTCACAGGTGAATTCTACCAAACATTTAAAGAAGAATTAACATATATTCCTTTCAAACAATTCCAAAAAATGGAAAAGGAAGGAACATTTCCAAATTCATTCTGAGGCCAGCATTACCCTAATACCAAAACCAGATAAAGACACGACAAAAAAAGAGAACTACAAGCCAAAATCTCTGGTGAGCACAAATGCAAAAATCCTCAACAAAATACTAGCAAACCAAACCCAAAAAAACATTGAAAAAAATCATTCACGATCATTCACAATCAAGTGGGCTTTATTCCTGGGTTGCAAAGGTGGTTCAATATTCACAAATCAATCAATATGATACATCACATCAACAAGAGAAAGGATAAAAACCATATGATCATTTCAACACAGAAAAAGCATCTGACAAAGTACAACATCCATTCATGGTAAAAAACAAACAAACAAACAAACAAACACCTCAACAAAGTACGTTTAAAGAGAACACACTGCAACATAATAAAGGCCATACAGGAAAAACTCACAGCTAACATCATCCCCACTGGGGAAAAACAGAGCTCTTCCTCTGCAGTTAGGAACAAAACAGGGATGTCCACTCTCACCACTTTTATTCAACATAGTACTAGAAGTCCTAGCCACAGCAATCAGACAAGAAAAAGGAATAAAGGGCACCCAGATTGGTAAAGAATTAGTAAAACTTTCAGTATTTGCAGATGACATGATGCTATACATAGAAAACCCTAAGGACTCGACCAAAAAACTACTAGAGCTGATAAATGAATTCAGTAAGGTTGGAGTATACAAAATTGATGTATAGAAACCAACTGAATTTCTATACACCAATAATGAAACAGCAGAAAGAAAAATTAGGAAAACAATCCCATTTATAAATATACCAAAAACAATAAAATACTTAGGAATAAGCTCAACCAAGGAAGTGAAAAGCCGGTACTCTGAAAATTTTAAAACACTGACAAAAGAAATTGAAGACGATGTAAACAGATGGAAAGATAATCCATGCTCATGGATTGGAAGAACAGATATTGTTAAAATGTCTAAACTACCACAAGCAATCTACAGATTTAATGCATTCCCTATCAAAATATCAACAGCATTTTTCACAGAACTAGAAGAAATAATCTTAAAATTTATATGGAACCACAAAGACCCCAAATAGCCAAAGCAATCTTGAAAAAGAAAAACAAAGCTGGAGGTATCACAATTCCAGACTTGAAGATATAACACAAAGCTGAAGTAATCAAAACAGTATGGTACTGGCACAAAAACAGACACACAAATCAATAGAACAGAACAGAAAACCCACAATTATATGGTCAATTAATCTTGGACAAAGGAGGCAAGAATATGCAATGGGAAAAAGATGGTCTCTTCAACAAATGGTGTTAGGAAAACTGGACCACTTTCTTACACCATACACAAAAATAAA